CTGGGATTCCCAAGCCGTCTCCGATCCGAGTTCTTACCAGGTTCGACGTTGCTTGACTTGCGAGATCGGACTTAATGTATGGCTTAGGACAAATTATTATGATTGCTGTTTTCTCTTTCTATAGAACATTATCGAGTTGACCGTTATCTCTGTCAATCTACAAGCAAACCTTCCAAGACATTCGGACTGTCGAGACAGGCAAATTCACTCTGCTCTCCTACTACTGATTGAAGTTTTTTTTTCAATTTAAACAAGTTTGATCATGATGCTTTAATCTAGAATGATCAGAACACAAAAAAAACCAAGCGTGAACAACATCCAACAGGGGCTACCCATTACTCCTAGCAACAGAAAAACTATTTTTCTTTGAATTGAAGTTGCTGCAATGAACGAACATGATTCTGAATAAGAGCTTATATATCTGAGAGGGTAAAGAGAAAATTACTCGAAGACTTATTTCTATACTTTTAGCTCAGCACTCGATAGTGAAACATCAACCAAGAAATAATGGCTAACTACAAACTGATATGGATCGCGATAAGTAGACATTAAAATTTCAAATTAATAAACAATAAAAAATGACTGGATATGTAAAAGAGTGAAATGTCAATATGTGAAAAATTATTGGGGTATTGAATTTATTGAAATTAGTTGAACAGTACCTACCGGCTATCGCTCAGCAATGAAATTCATATAATTTCTGAATGAACCAGTCATTTCTAAAATCACAAACACTCCGTGTCAGACGGTAAAGATCATCGGCTTCAGAACAGAATTCTGAGCTGGAAAAACTCTTGAAGTAACAAGATATATGAGTAGAAGCAATAGTTTCACCTGCTTGGGTTCCATGAACAACCGGGTTATTTTTTGCGGAAGTTGAAAGCTGGACAAGTCCAGGTTACATAAGATGAACACTAAAGCATTGCCTTCCAGTTTATGCCGTACAGAATGGTTGCATTCTACATCCTAATTGCCCAGAAGCGTTGCATTCCATCTTCACCATTTCGTTCGCTGCGAGAGTCATTATAAAAGTGTTGGTGGTTTCTGAATATCTCAAAGCAACCTATTGTTACTTTGTTTTTTGTTTTCACACGGTTGTACTGATAGGATGTAGCTGTACGCTTCAACACTCGAATGTTGCAAACAAATACAAATTATTATTTTCGTTCATACATGAACGATCAGATCATTTTCTGCTGCTCTTTCCATTGTCAGCCTCACTGAACAAGTTGACTGCTTATACATACCTCAGATGTCGCTCTATGTTATAATCATGCACTGCTTATCCCTTTTTGGGTTCTTCATCATCTTCTTCTCATTCTCACTTTTAATCTTTGTTCCGACCAAGCTGGACAACTTCACCCGCTTCGTGATTCATGGGCATGACTTGACGTGAGTTCTATATTTCAATCTTTTATCATTGTCTTTGAAGATCTGCCCTAACGCAGCTCTATATTACTTTGGGGACAACACCGACTCTCCTGTTTCCATGTAAATCTGCATACGTGAGTGGTTTCTTCTCTGATTTCGGAATCAGACCTATGGATCAAATGAATATTCAAGTCACATTGATCACTAGTACTTACCTGATGAGGTTATACATGACGTTCATCCATTCCAGTCAGCAAATCCTTCACTCTCCTTCTCACCATCAATCGAACCTTCGCAATAAATACATGGATGAAGAAACATAAAAACCTCATTCTGATCATATTCTTCACGCTACTGATTGTCCAAGTTTTTCTTTCGTTTTTCAATGCTTTGAACTCAAAAGAAGGCGGAGAAGAAGCGCGGCAGGGTTGTATTGCGGTTTGAATCTTTTTCATTCGTTGAAACAGTCTTTTCAGATAATCACCTATGAATATCCCCAGGTGATGTATACTTCCCGAGCATATGATATGTCACTAGAAGATAAGAACCGCCTGTTCACCTTAATATGTATGGCTGTGACTTCTGTGCTTTACATTATTATCGCGATGGTTTGTGTTTCTATGCTCACTCAGAGCATCAGAGAACAAGCGAAGTCATCACAGTCGCCTCAGTTCTTGGCAAACCAACGTAGAATAACTTCCGGAATTGTCTACTTCGTAAGCTTCTTCTCTCCTACTTTGATCAATGTAATTCAGATGGTTCTCGAGATAGTTGGATTGGGCATTCCATTTATAGTTATCAGTGCATGTTCTATTCTCAGGATAGGAAATACGGGTAAAACTTCCCTTAGACACCGACTTACAAATTCGTACATTTCAGTCGTCTCCGATATTGTCTTTATGACCATGTGCATCTATCCTATATTTGGTCCATACTATGTTCTCATGTCCAACACAGATTACAGGAACAGAGTGAGAGGGATACTTAGAAAAGGTTAGTTCTTGAAGCTCACTCTGTTTGAACATACTCCTCGTTATAACTAGATCAAGCTGATACGAAACGTGTTTCAGCGCAGGAAGTAGGAAGTCGTACGTTGAGCGTTTGAGCATTCTACTCCGTCTCATTTATACTGCCAATTCGTGTCCGTTGAGCCCAGCAATCTCCTACAGAATGGATTGCTGCAGACCCCTGGACATTCAATCTTGCCGATAACGTCTGTTGTCATAACAGGAGCAGTCGTCTTCTCAACGTTTTCGTTCTCATCGTTTCGTTCGTAACTGAAACATGAACGTATCAGGACCGAATGAAGAGTTGAACTAACTAATTTTATAATCATGATGTTTTTTTACAACCTTCAAATGCCTTATGATGAAAGTAGATGACCTCTATCGTTTCGTAAAAGCAAAAAACCATATACAACAATCTGACGACTTAAACTGAGCAACAGGGAGTCAATTCTATTGATTCGAAAAAAAATCACTAAGAGACTAAACGAACAACAACTAACCTTAACGAAGATGTGGAAGATCATTGGTGTATCCAATTATTCGAGCAGTACGTACGTGATTGACCGTTAGTAAGGCGGTGTTCTGCTTCTCTCAAAACCCAAGACACTCTCTTCCTACTTCATACTCTTTATAACTTCGAGCTTTAACTTCTCTAATAACTCTTACCTCACATTGCTTCGTTAGGATATCATGAATTTCCTTTCTATCTCGAAGACAGAGACTGATATCGCTCAGCAATGAATTTCAAGCAATTTCTGAATGAACCAGTCATTTCTAAAATCACAAACACTCCGTGTCAGACGCTAAAGATCATCATCGGCTTCAGAACAAAATACTGAGCTGGAACATCACTTGAAGTAACAAGATATATGACTACAAGCAATAACTTCACTTGGTTCGATTCCATAAACAACCGGGTTGTTTTTCCTCACGTAAAAATGCTTTCCGCGTGGCTTATAGTTCCCGGCTTTCACTGAATGCTTAAGTCATCAACGATCTGAAATGAGTCAGTTGGAGGCGTGAGACGATTAGCCTCACCTCTCTCCTTTCCTTAATAGTCATTGATGAAAGCTAGACAAATCCAGGTAACATAAGATGAGCACTAAAGCATTGCCTCCCAGTTCATACCGTACTGAATGGTTTTGCTCTACATCCACATTGCTCAGAAGGGTTGCATTACAACTTCACCATATCAGCCAAATTTATAAGCAAGACGTGTTCGCTGTGACAGTAAGTATAAAAGTGTTTTCATAGCGCATATATCTGAAACAGATTCCCAGCCTCAGCCAGACTGAGCATGCTAACACTGACTCAATGTTCTTAGTACATGTTGTAATTTCTTAGGTTCACTTGAACAGAGATCATTGTTGAAAATTCTTTAATTTCTTTTATAAAAAATATAGATCATGAGAAGAGATATCAGCGAACATTCAATACCAGATTATGTCAGCAGAATATCAGTATTTCGAGTTGAGGGTCAGGAAGAGATGACTGCTGCACCATATTCTTCGAACCAACAAGAATAGAACCAAGTTCGCAATTGAAACTCAGGAATCTCCTCAGCAGTACACTGAGGAAATCAAACTGAACTTTAGGAGTCTCATCTATCTAAAGATATGTTTTAGCTTCTCACTACCTCATCTCTTTCAAAAAATCATTTCTGTTTCAATGTACGGCAAGTAGAGAACCTCATCCTGCTCACCTGTTTCTACAATGTTCTCTGGACAGGGTTCATATACATTCAGAGATCATAATACTAGAACTAGAAGGTTTAGGCTCACGTAGTTAGCTCGGGAACAATAGCGATATTACGAACTGAAGAATTTGTTGAAAGCTTGCTTATTAAAGAGACGAGCAAAATGAAAGAACAAACCTCGGTGTAAAAACCCATTCACACTGTTTCTGTAATCTGTATTGGACATGAGCACATAGTATGGTCCGAATATGGGATACACACATCCTATGATCATTCCACACTGGGCCAAGACTGAATATATTGTCAACACAGTGAAAAAACTGTGAAATGAAGGGCTAACCGGCATTTCCTACATTGAAAAAGGCACAGTAAGTGACCACGGCTATCGGACCACCTACCCCAACTATCTCCACAATACCCTAAATAGAAAGTATTGCTCTTCACTGCACTGTTCTACAAACGAAATATATAATGCCGACAGTAATCCGTCGCTGATTGGTTAGAAATTGAACAGACTGTGACAGCTTTCCTTGGTTGAGAATGCTACGAACTAAAACAGTTCCAAAGACACTCGCAACGGCCATGTAGAAGATAGTATATAGGACAATGTAAATAATGCCTACAGTGTACTCTTTGTTATCGAAGAACATGAAGTTGACTCCATCCATAGTATCCATCTCTTTGGGATACTCCTTGATCTTCTGAGAATCAGTTCACGTTCATAAGAAATGGGCGAGTTCATCACCTCTTTGCATTTGATTCGGCCCTTCTCACCGCTATCTGTCAAGCTAGAACCCACGATAACTATTCCAATGAGCTGTGCAATTAGTTGTAGAAAGAACAGTACCAAGATGAGATTCTTGGTTTTGTCCGACAGTCTTACCAACAGAGCGAAAGCACGGTTAATTGTGAGAAGAAGAGAGAACGAGGCGTTTGCTGAAACGATATCATCCTCATCAGACTTAGCTCTCAAGGTCTGCTACTAGTAATCAAAGCAACGAGAATCACGTCTTGAGTTAGAGTTCTCATAACTTTGAAATGGGTTAGTATCCCTGCGTTGTATCCACTGGCACATGGTAATATCACATGCGTTTGTAAGCCGATAGTCATGTAGAGTTGCGTCACTCCAGATCTTAAGCCAAAAATTTATAAAAAAAAATCTATTAAGGTTCACTCACACCAAGTCATGTCCATGTATAACAAACCGAGTGAAAGGAGTCAGTTTGGTTGGGACAGTTATAAGCAGGTACAACGAGAAGATGATGATGAAGAATCCGAAAGAGGATAAGCTGTACAGAATGATAGCATAAGCATCCATTTATGGTATTATATGAAGCCGTTTTTCTTGTAAGGAAATGAATGACAAAAATATTTTCAAGATGGAATTCAGCTGTTCATCTATTCCGACATCACAGAACAACAATAGTTGCTTTCACTCTTCAATGAGCACCAATTATTGAAATCTACAAAGCATTCACAGTTTGTCCAACGATGCTTGAAAAACTAATCAATCAGTTGCCCGATATTCATTTCCTTGTAAGTAAGACGGAACGGCGGCGTAGGTTGAATGAGCCAGCTAAGGATTCATTATGTTACACAGTATGTTAAAAAAAACATATATCGACTAGACTTGATGAACATGATTTATTTCCACTAGTCGCATATAATACATCTCGAGTGACACAAACACCCAGACGTCATCAAAACTGTATTCTATCCACAATTGCAAGGGTGAGCTTCAAAGCTACATCAAAACTGATTGATCAAAGTTACTCTTGGGAAGACCACATCCTGGGATGTTCTAACTAGATTTGAAATAATAGAAAAATAACATTATAAAGAGAAATTAGAAGAGAGCAACATGCCCACACATTCTAAACACATGTTTTCGTTCACACGTCTTCATTTTGGAAACGCACGTGGCAGTAAAAACTTGTTCGTGATTGCACGTACATTTAGAAGTAGACGGCGTGCCCAATGGCACGTTTCCAATTATTACAGCTGCCCAGACTCAAGTTGGGTAAAAAATGTGCATGCCTTCCGCAGTTTTTACCTTAATCGGAATATGCATTTGTTAACAATCAAGAATATCTATAAGGTTCCACCCTTTCCTCAGTTCGAAAAATTCTTCCCAGATTCTTCAATCCAACAGTTTATATATATCCAATGGTCATACAGATGTCTATTTTTCTTCCACATTTATGTGTAGACTTATATATTGGAGCACAGAGTGAGTAGACTGAATGATAGGCACGTTAGTCAGTGAGTTAGTAAGACACTCCTTCTTGTAAAATAATTAGAAGTCTAGTTTACATGAGAAGACACAACCGCCCAGCAACTGGATTTTTTTGGAAATGTAATTATACAATCGTTCATTTTGCACTGCAGTCATTTTGTGAGCGGTTGTGTTTCATCTTAAGTTCCCGGATTTCTACCATATCAAACGCAATGTATTAATGAGCTTTTAATTCTTCTAATGTATGAACAAAGTATAACAACTCGATCCATGTATATAGGATTGTTCCATGGTAAGATTGAGATCTTACGAAGAAACTTCCAGAAAGTTTTTTCTGTTATCGTACATTCCATATTTGTTCCACCGTATTCCGTGATGTTCAGAAAAACTTTTTTCAGAACGTGGGAGTAGTCCGAGTCTGGTCTTGAGCAGGAGGATGAGGTCGAAGACTAGTAGTCATTTTCTTGACTGAAGTATAGAAGTGAAGAGAAAACCGGGGCTTAACCTTGCACTGACTTCTTTTCAATATCAGGTTAACTTTCTCATTGTAGTCCTTGTTAGACATCAACACATAGTACGGCCCACATATGGGATACACACTTATGCTAATCATAGCACTTTGAGAAACAGCTGGAAATGTGAACGAACCCATCATATACTAACTTCGTTCTCAAATACATACCGAGTCGACCCACACTAAATGTACCACACAATGCAAGTAAGATGATAGGAATGCCCAAACCAATTAGTTCGCATAACACCTAAACTGTAATGTGAGTATGGTAAGCAGATAGAAATTACTTACAAAATAAATAATTCCGTAAGTCAGCTTCCTTTGATTCGCCAAGAATTGAGCAGATTGTGAAGATTTTGCTTGATTTCTGATGCTCCGAATCAAAATTGTTCCACAGATACTCGAAACAACCAAGTAAAAAACGGCAAACAGAACCATATAACCAAGTATCAGCAGCAGATTGATCTCTTCCATTGGTATCAAATCAACTCCTAAGGTATACATTTCTTTAGGATATTCATAGGGTATTATCTGGAAACTGTTGCTCTAATGAGGTACACCAAGTTGTAAGAACCTTAATGCACCGTTGCCGTCCTTTATCACTGACATTTCTCAAGAAGTAACCGTTGATCAATAAGAAAATGATTTGGGCAAATGCCTGAATGAAGAAGATAGCCAAAATCAGTTTTTTCCATTTTTCCATTCTTGAAGAAACTGCGAATGCCCGATTGATAGTGAGAAGAAGTGAGAACGATGCAGTAACTGAAAGTCGAAAATGTCATTATACCTGATGTATACTGATCAATTACTGGAAACTAGAATAACTTGAGATACTGCTTGACATACGATGTTCATAACATTGAGTTGCGTTAATAATCCGAATGTGTAACCAGAGGCACAGGGGAAAAGAATATATGGTAACACGCCTAATGTTAGATAGAGCTGACTGATGGCAGATCTTGGTTAAGATTTATAGCAATCATTATCATCGTTCAAAACTTACGTCAAGTCATGCCCGTGTATGACGAACCGAGTGAAACGAGACAGTTTGGTTGGGACAGTTATAAGCAGGTACAACGAGAAGATGATGATGAAGAATCCGAAAGAGGATAAGCTGTACATAATGATAGCATAAGCATCCATCGATAGAACCACTGGATGTGAACGATTACTGCATTGGAAGATTGTCTGAAGCATTTTTGTATCTCCAATGTTTACACAACTCTTTCTTTTCTCACTACATTCTTCAACTCGTATGTATATGTATATGCGCTCACCATTTACAAAGGAGAAGAGGGATCAGTGATTTGGCTTTTTGGAGATTCGACTCACAGAGCGATGGTTTTCTTTCATGTACAAAGCTCATCCACATAGATCAAGATCGTACGAGTATAGAGCTCACGCAGGTAGCTCGGGGAAAAATAGCGAAATTACGAACTGAAGAGTTAATTATTTACAAATTATAATATCAGATGGGCAAACGAAGTGGTAGAGACGGAGATTAGAACAAACCTTCATAAATTATTCGACTGACTCTCTTTCTGTAGTCTGCATTGAACACATAGTATGCACCGAAAATGGGATACACACATGCTATGACTGCACCTTAACCAGCTATGGTTGACTTAATGAATTGCACAATGAAGGAAACATTTACCACACTGAAGAGGACACAGTAAGTGACCACGGCTATCGGAACACCTAACCCAACTATCTCCACATTACAATAAATAGAAACTATTGCTCTTCACTGACATATCAAAGTTCACTTATAACAAGTCATGTCCATGTATGACATGTGGAGTCAGTTTGATTGGGACAGTTGTAAGCAGTAGATTGTTTGAAGCATTTTTGTCTCTCTGATGTTTTTCACAACTTATCATTGCCTTGGTTCCAACTGTAGCACACAGTGTTACTTTGTTACCTAAAGTTGTTCGTGAGTTTTTTCGAGAATTAGTTTCCTCCGTCAGTTTGCCACGTCTTCGGGGATTGTAGTTGATGAAGTATTTTTGATTCGCTCTGATACAAGAAACAAAAACTGATTTTCAGGAACAACGGTTAAGCTTAAGCAATTAGTTGAATGAATTATTGATACCAGTACTGCTGCAGTTTGGCACTTCTTGAAGCTCAACATTCAACTTTGATAATGAAAGCTTATTTCGCTTCATTCAAATAGAAGTAAGGTTTCCTCCCTGTTCTCGTCGTTGAGAAAGTATGGCACTTCACTTCCTCTACACAAAAATGACAGTTATATTCGTTGTTCTCCTTGTGCAAAAGGATTGTCTTTCATCTTTTACTGTTCAACACAGATGCAAATCAATCTCTCAGGAAAAGGACTGAAATACAAAAAAAATTTTAGAAGTTGATTCAAGACCTAACTGTGATCGCGATAGAGCTCCTGATTAGAGTATACTCAAAGAGTAACACACTGTCGTCGTATGTTTTTCTATAAAACAGAGTATCTCACAGGTCGGAGCGCCCTTGTAGGCCCTACATCTAAAACGTAGACAACCATGAAAACTAAAAGAAGTATAGATAACATTGTGAATTATGATCAAGAACGAAAGATTCGGAACACATCACAGACACCAATTTCTCTTTTTATTTGAAGATATCCAATGCACAAAGTAGAAACTACACATAATTAGTATGATTCCAAAAAGAAACAACAGCTGCAAAATGTTTGCCGCCAGCAGGGGTCGAACCTGCGACCTTGGGCTTATTAGACCCACGCTCTAACCAACTGGGCCTAGTTACCTGTACACGTTAAAACATGTACACTAGCAGTACACTGTCGCATATACACCAAGTTTAAACAAGTACACCGATCATTATTTC